GGCATGGGAAATTTAGTTAAGGCCTCCTGTGCCTACCCCACACTGATTCCTTCAAATGTTAGGCATACATAAATTTGTTACCCCCTTATCTACAGTTTAACTCTGCAGTTTCAGTTCCTCAAGCCTGTGTCACAATGCCTACATCATTCACTACTCTTCATTTCCTCACGTAGGCATTTGATCATCTCACATCCTCACAAGAAGAGGAAGGATGAGCCCAGTAAGATTAGATAAGATTCTTTTCTTTTCCTTTTTTCCTTTCTATTCTTTTAAAGATTTTATTTATTTATTTTACAGATGGCGATTACAAGTAGGTAGAGAGGCAGGCAGAGAGAGAGGGGGAAGCAGGCTCCCTGCTGAGCAGAGAGCCCAATGCGGGGATCAATCCCAGGACCCTGAGATCATGACCTGAACAGAAGGCAGAGGCTTGAACCCACTGAGCCACCCAGGCACACCTCCTTTCTCTTTTCTTTTGAGAGAGAGATCACGCAAGCATGAGCAAGCAGGGGGAGGGGCAGAGGGAGAGGGTGAAAGAGGATGTTAAGCAGACACCGTGTCCATCATGGAGTCTGATGTGGGATTGGATCTCATGACCCTGAGATCATGACCTGAGCCAAAACTAAGAGTTGGATGCTCAACTGACTGAGCCACCGAGATGCCCCAGCAATAAGATATCTTGAAAGAGAGAACATATCCACATAATTTTTATTACAGTATATTGTTATAACTGTTCTATTTCATTATTATTGTTGTTAATCTCTTACCATGGCTGATTTATAAATTAAACTTTACCATAGATATGCATAAGAAAAAGCATAGTATTGGGCGCCTGGGTGGCTCAGTGGGTTAAGCCGCTGCCTTTTGCTCAGGTCATGATCTCGGAGTCCTGGGATTGAGTCCCGCATCGGGCTCTCTGCTCAGCAGGGAGCCTGCTTCCTCCTGTCTCTCTACCTGCCTCTCTGCCTGCCTCTCTGACTGCTTGTGATCTCTGTCTGTCAAATAAATAAATAAAATCTAAAAAAAAAAAAAAAAAAGAACTCCTTTCTCTTAAAAAAAAAACAAGAAAAGAAAAAGCATAGTATATATGGGGTTTGGAACAATCTGTGGTTTCAGGCATCTTATTGGGTGTCTTGAAATATACCCTCCATAAATAAGGTGGGGACTACCATATTCATGTTTTCATTATTGTTCTCTTATATAAATACTTTATGAAATGTAGATAATCAAACAGGTATGACCCTTTTGCTATTAAGGGATCCTTGGTGAAAAACCATCAAGTGGCTTGTGATATAATAAAGAATATATCTGGTCTTTGTCTTGAGTTGAAGGAGCAGAGCTTCAAAAACCTTTGGGATTTCTTGGATGATAGGAGTCTCTCTGCTATGTTAATGAGGTGACTTCTGGCGGGACCCCCAGATAGCTTCCCCTGAGAAGGCTGCTCATCAGAAGAAACAACCATGACATTGCCTGGAGTTGAGTTTAGTCACATAGCCTATGATTTTATGAAACATATGCCTACATAATGAAATCTCAATTAAAAATAACTTTTGCGGCACACCCTGACTCCACAGGGACAGAAATTCCTGTGCTCAGGCCCCTTCCAGACCTTTCCCTATGTACCTCTTCATCTGATTGTTCATTTATAATAAAAAGGTTCTCATAAGTAGAGCACCTTCTTGAGTTCTGGAGTCATTCTACTGAATTATTGAAGCTGAAAGGTAGCAATCGGAACCCCCAAATCTGTAGCCAAGTCAGACAGTAGTGCAAACAGCTTGGGGTTCCTAGTTGTGGCTGTCATCACAAATACAGGCAGTTTTGTTGAGGACCTTGTGGGAACTGGTGCTAACTCAGGGTGTTAGTGTCAGAATTGGAATCAACTATAGGACACCCAGTCGGTATCAGAGAATTGGTGTAAGATACAGTAAGTATAATGTGCCTTCCTGAGTTATGTAAGTCATTCTAGCAAATTATGGAGCCTGCAGAATAGTGGGGTTGATGGATCCGTAATCAAAGGAACGAGACTAATACAGAGAGAGAGGGGGAAGCAGGCTCCCCGCTGAAGCAGAGAGCCCGATGCGGGACTCCATCCCAGGACCCTGGGATCATGACCTGAGCTGAAGGCAGCAGATTAACCCACTGAGCCACCCAGGCACCCAGGAATGAGACTAATACAAAGTGAAGGTCAAGCAAAGCTTTATTTCGCACCAAGCATCGAGAATCAAACCAACCGTTCGGGGCAGCCTCTTACAGAGAGGGCGACCCTCCCAGCCTCACAGACTAACTTTTATAGAGCAAAGGCCATGTGGTTGAGCCTGGCCACACACAGGTGGCCAATGAGATTGTAACACACAGAGAAAGCTGCACAGTCATGTTAGGTCACACACGGGTGGCCCATTTAATTACAATTCACCCCATAGTAGCTATTTGAACTAGCCTATCACCTTGGTCAGGATTGGTGCCCAAAAGGCACCCAAAAGGCGGGGCCCACACTCCTTGGTAGCTAGGGAGACAGTATGTGCGCCCCACTGGTTGGATGTCTCCACCTGGCCTGACCTGCCCTTGTATTTGGGCTCTGTTACCTGGGACTTATTTCCTGGACTTGCTGTTAAGTCAGTCCCTTGGGTGGGAGGGACAGGGTCAATTTAAGTTTTACTGCATAAACAACAAAATGGCTGTTCAACTGAGATGAAATCGCTCTGGCTAAATAGGTCCTTACAGGTCACCTGATGCTGCTAGCTGGTCAGAATGAGGAAGGACTGGGGACCCCAAGCTTGAGACTAGTATCTGAAGTAAAGGCAATCTTGTGGAGACATACTCTTTGCTGTGAAGTTTGGCCAAACTCTGCATAGTTGGAGACAGAAGTCTTTTCACCTCTATCTGGAAAATCATTCAGTCATAGAAAGGAAAGAAATACTGATGCATGCTACTGTATGGATGAACCTTGAAAACATTATTCTGAGTGAAAGAAGCCCATCACAAAAAGAACACAGACCATGTCACTTGTTTTATATGAATGTCCAGAATAGCCAAATCTATAGAGACAGAAAATAGATTAATGGTTGTTTAGTGATTGTAGTAGGATGGGGTTAGAGAGGTGATAATAGAGGAAACCAAGTTTCTTTATAAAGTGATGGGAATGTTCTAAAATGGTGATAGTAAAACCCATTGAAATACTCACTTTGAGTGGGTAAAATGTATGATGTATGTATTATATCTCCATAAGGCATCACTAAATCTGTTTAGTGTTTTGGGGTGCCTGGATGGCTCAGTGGGTTAAAGCCTCTGCCTTCGACTCAGGTCATGATCTCAGGGTCCTGGGATTGAGCCCCGCATCGGGCTCTCTGCTCAGCAGGGAGCCGGCTTCCTCCTCTCTCTCTGTCTGCCTCTCTGCCTACTTGTGATCTCACCTTCTGTCAAATAAATAAATAAAATCTTTAAAAAAACAGAAAATATCTGTTTAAATTCCAATTCAATTTAATTAACATATAGTATATTATTAGTTTCAGGGGTAGAATTTAGGATTCATCAGTTGCATATAACACCCAGTGCTCATTACACCAAGTGTCCTCCTTAATGCCCATCACCCAGTTACCTTAGGCCCCCAGCCACCTCCCCTTGAGCAACCCTCAGTTTGTTTCCTATAGTTAAGTCTCTATGGTTTGCCTGCCTCTCTGTTTTTATCTTATTTTTCCTTTCCTTCCCCTGTGTTCATCTGTTTTAAACAGTTTCTCAAATTCCATGCGAGAGAAATCATATTTGTCTTTCTCTGACTGACTTATTCTGCTTAGCATAATATCCTCTAGTTCTATTCATGTCATTGCAAATGACAAAATTTCATTCTTTTTGAGAGCTGAGTAATGTTCCTGTGTGTGTGTGTGTGTGTATGTGTGTGTGTGCGGGGAGAGAGAGAGAGAGAGAGAGAGAGAGAGAGAGAACGCGCGCCCAGATGTCTACGGACAGATGAATGGATAAAGATGTCATATATACCCATCCATTCATCTGTCCGTAGACATCTGGGCTCTTTCCATAGTTTGGCTATTGTGGACATTGCTGCCATAAACATTGGGGTGCACATGTCCCCTTGAATCCCTATGTTTCTAACGTTTGGATAAATACCTAGTAGTGCAAATGCTGGATTATAGGGTAGTTCTATTTTTAACTTTTTGGGGAAACTTCATACTGTTTTCCAGAGTGACTGCACCAGTTTGCATTCTGACCAACAGTGTAAGGGTGTTCCCTTTCTCTTCATCCTCACCAAATTAAGCCATTGTCTGTTTTTTTTTTTTTTAAAGGGTGGTTATCTTCTGTAAATATGAGCTGAAATAGCTATAGATGACACATAAAATGTCTGGGATTTGCTTCAAAAAAAATCCATAGGGGATGGGGAGGGGACCAGAAGAGATAATACTGACCATTGGTTGATAATTGCTGAAGCTGAGTGCTTGGAGGATCATCATATTATTCTCTCTACAGCTGTATATGTGAGGAAAAAAAAGAAGAATCTGATGCAATGTTCTGACTCAGAAAAGAGGGGACTGTTGAGATACCTGGGTGTCTGACTTTGCCTCAGGTCATGATCCTCATGGTCCTGCTGGGCTCCATGCTCAGCAGGGGGTCTGTTTGTCCCTCTCCCTCTGCCCCTCCCTGACTGGTGTTTGTGTTCCTACACTCTCTTTCTCTCTCAAATAAATAAATAAGATCTTTTAAGAAAAAGAAAGAGGGCAACACTGTCAGGACCCTTCTCACTCCTGAGAGCTTTTTCTGCCTCCTTGCTGAATAAACTTCTATCACTTATATTCACTAAGATGAATGAATGAATGAATAAATGAATGAATAAAGAAATAAAATTTTAGAAAGGAAAGAAAGGAAGGAAGGAATGAAAGAAGGAAGGAAGGAGGGAACTGCCACCTCCTTTGATAAGTTGTTGTTTAGAGGCCCTCCCCAGAGCCCTCAGGTCAAGGAGATGAATTATTGAGGGGAATCGGAGAGGCACAGAAGCTATGGAGTGTGGAGAGGCAGCTAGCGCAGGGGCTGCTTTGGGCCAGGACAGCTCAGTGCCCCCAGCCCTCATGGTCAACCCCCAGGCCAGGCTGATGGTTGTGGTGGAAGTAGAGGGAGGGCGAAGAGGATCAGGTAAGAAATTCTTACACATTCATTCTTAGAGGGAGTGCAGCCTAGGGGAGCCTCTTGGGAGAGAGGAAGGATGAGGTCATTTTACTGCTTCAGCTGCTGCTGCCGCCCTGAGATGCTGTTTGAGGGAGCTCTGCCTCACAGGGCCTCTGATCCCGTGCACGGTTAGGAAACTGAAGCCAAGGTTGAGAGCAGGACCTAGGAGTGCTGGCAGTTTTCCCTCTGAGAGTTGATATCTAGTCCGTCTTTCTCAGGCCTTACAGTCCTTCTGGAGGGGCCCAAGAGCATCCGCTTGCTTCAGCCGGGTACTCCAGATGCTCAGGTAAAGATGGGATAGGGTGCGGGTGAGGGCTGGGGAAGACAGGACTGACAATGCTGAGCCTAGCCCTCCCCACAGGAACAATGCCTCACCTTTGACAGAGTCCTGGGCTCTGATGCCGCTCAGGTAGGGGGGTTTTAGGGAGCTGGGAGGAGCATGGGAGCCCTTAGGCTCCTAGATCCTGGAGTGCTGAGTGCTTCCCAAGCCCTTTGCTCGGACAGACTGGGTCAGGGCACCTGAGATCAGGGGATGTGTCTGTGTCCCCTGTAGGAGGCTGAGCAGGAGCTGCTAGCACGAGTCCAGCCCACACTAGGCTTGGTGGCCCGAGGGTACAGTGTGGCCCTACTGCTTCGGGGTCGGGAAGCAGAGACACCCCGTCTTGTACCTCAGGTGAGTCCCAGAGGAGCCACCGGGCATAAGACTCATGAGGCTCAGGTGTTCCTTCCTCCCCGATACCTTTGAGAAACTTCCCTTCCCCTTCCTAGCTGGATTAGATTCCCCTCCTTGGGGTTCCTATAGTACACTGCGGTCCGTACAGGTCCTAGATTGCCAGGGTCCAATCTAGGCAGCGACTGAGAGGTAGATCAGGGAAGGTGGGAAGCTGGGTCCCATGGAGTGAGGGTCAGGGATGGGTGGTTTGCAAAGATCAAAGATCCAGGGAGGCCTAATCTTCACAGTTTTTCTTAATACTGATAATAAACTTGACAGTTTTGTTTTTAGGGCTTCATGAAAATGCCCCTGAAATCAAAATAGCTACTTCAGAAACTTGTCATAGGCCCCTGCCATAGGAAACAGCAGGTCTCACTGAAAATGTCTACTCATGTGACGGGCTGAAAACCGTGAGGGCTGGGGCTCTTTCTGTCCTGGAGACTGTGTCTGTAGCACCTAGTGGAGAACCAGGTGCAGACTTCACCCTCAGGAAGTGCTGAATTATGGATTCAACCTTTCTGCTGAAGGGGTCCTTACTGAACCCCTTTCTCCACTTTAGCTGTTGCAGATGCTGTTTGAGGAAGCTCTGCCCCCCGGGGGCCCTGATCCTGTGCTTACTACCCTTAGCCTGGTGCAGGTGAGACCCTGCAGGGAGGGGGGCCTGGGAACCAAGGCCCCTGCTGTGTGGCAGAAAGTGCCCAAGGCTTGGGAGCAGCCAGAAGAGCTCGAGCCCAGACTCATTCTGCTGCTCATCAGTGTGGGCTTGGCTCTCCTGAGGTCTCCTTTTTCCTGCCTGAAATGACTGAATTTGGAGGCCCTGATTGGCCCATAGGGCCCCAGCGGGAGGATCGTGTGCACTGAAGCCTGGGAAAGGCTGTATGTGTAACCAGTGTTATGCTTGCGTGATTCCAGCTCAGCCCCTGCGGGAAGACTCGGGACCTGCTCTCTCAAGGGACAGAGAACTTGTCAGTGCTAGATGTGTCCCCCCTGGGCTTGTGAGTATCTAGGGCCCAAGGGGATCTGAGGGTGCTTGTCTTAAAGCAGGGCTGACACCCCCAAACCCAGCCCTTGGAGGTTTCTCCCCACTGCCATAAACTTGGGGTCATGCTTATCACACCCCCTCCTCCTCTTCCCTGCATCCCATATCCCTAATCCTCTCATTCTTCTTACCCTATCCTTCTATGCCTCTTCACCTCAGTCCTTATCATCCTTGGACAGTTGAGCATCTCACTGAGCAGAACTTCAGTTTTTCCATCTGCAAAATGGGAGAAATTCCAACTAGCCTGTTTCCCTCACTGGTCAGATAACAGGAGGAAAAAGGAGATTGTACAGATGAGAGACTTTTAGGGGATATACTGAGCTTGGAACCTTAGGGATGATTCTCACAGGCTCTTAGGATCCCATCTAGCTTCCCACACAGAGGTTCTGGGGGCTGGACAGGACTCTGGTGCTTGGGAATTGAGCTCAGCCTCCCTTCCTCCAGGGTAGTGGAAAATGCCAGTGATGTGGAGGTGTCTGACTCAAGAGTGGCCTCGGGGCTGTACTTGCAGGCTGCGGGCGATGAAGGCAGGTGAGGACAGAGGGCACCTGTCACCTCCCACCCCCGTCCCTTAGGTGTTTGGCTTGATCCTACCCTCTCCTCCACAGGGCCTGTTCTCTGCTCACTGTCACCATTTCCTGCCCGGGGCCTGATCCTCCTGAGGGGCCTGGGATCCAGGGCATGTGGCGAGGGGCCTTGAGGATCCTGCAGCTCCCCAGAGCCCTGTAAGTCTCATGGAGTCTTCTGACTACTTTGGGGAGTGGCGGTTTGTGGAGAGGCTGAAATATGGATGCAGAGACCCAGGGAAGCCCCAGAATGTGTGTGGCTTTCTAGGTTCCCTAATGTGTGTGGGAATTTTCCTTATTCCCCCAAAATCTCACTCCTCAACTTTTCTTTCCTCCCAGTCTTTCCATGCATCTGTTCTTTGCTCCAACTGTTATTTTTGCTCATTCTTTCATCTTTCAATGTTTTGAGGGACTGTCCTCTAGCATAGCTGTTCTGCCCTGAGAGCATTAGAAGGTAAGTGATACAAAGCCCTTTTGGGGAAAACCTAAATAGCCAAAACAACAAACACAATTCCTTGGGAACAAGATCTACTCAGCTCTCTCCAGAGCCAAGTACCCCCACCAGAAATGCGGACTGTTGTCTTCAAGACCACCTCTGTGCTGGGGAGGAGGTTGGGGGTGGGGTAAGTGATAACACCACGGAGAGCTCAACATACTTAGGTTGGCTTTCTCCCAGTGAAGCAATCACTTGGTTGCTCTAAGCCTTGGACTTGGATTGTCCCCCCGAATTCTAGGAAGGTTGACTCTGACCATTTTTGCCAGACCTTTCTGACGAAGGACAGACTCCCAGAGTTCCCCACTCTGCCATTTTTGTGGATGTCACCTTGCTTTGCCATTTTTAATTGGGTGATTAGTCTTTTATTACTGAGTTGTAAGAGTTCTTTAAATATTCTGGATGCAATTCCCTTATCCAATAGACAAAATAAATTTTGAACTATGAGAATATATTGTGTAATTTTAAAAATAATAAAATAAAGATCTATGCAAGGTTGCAAATCTGCCTGGTGGTGCACAGAAGTTACTGGAAATAGTCAATCTTTCCATCAGAATGTGATTTGGGCCAGTTTCTTTCCCTATCCATCAGAGGACATCGCTTTTCTTCCTCCCTCCCTTGGGCAGAGATTGCCCCCTGCTGCAGGTATTGGCTGGTAAGGTTATTGGTGAGGAGGTGGAGGGCTCCTTGCCCTGGATTGTCTCGCGGCTCCTGGAAGGAAACAACTACAGTGGCCTTCTTCTTCGCCTGGACCCTCAAGGTGGCCTGAGGGGAGGGTGTGGGGTTCTTGGGGAAGTTCTGGGATCTAACTTATGCCAGATCCACCCTCTTACCCAATCAGCTGCAGTCCCAACCGCAATGCGGAGAGAGCCTGACCCTCTGGGAGGGCCAGGATTCAGAAAGGTTCCAGGATGGCTAGGTTGCTTCAAAGGCTGGAGAGGCAGGGCCAATAGAAAAGCAACCCCCCATCCTTCAGAGACTTTCAACAGTTTACCAAGCATTTTTACACTAATGCCTTTTATTCTTACCACAACTCCATGAGACACATATAACTTAGATGAGGAAAGAAAGGGAAGCGTATGGGACACCTGGGTGGCTCAGTGGGTTAAAGCCTCTGCCTTCAGCTCAGGTCATGATCCCAGAGTCCAGGGATCGAGTCCCGCATCGGGCTCTTTGCTTAGCAGGGAGCCTGCTTCCTCCTCTCTCTCTCTGCTTGCCTCTCTGCCTACTTGTGATCTCTCTCTGTCAAATAAATAAATAAATCTTTAAAAAAAAAAAAGAAAGGAAAGCGTAATTTATAAACAAGGAAATGAAAGATCAGAGAAGGGAAAGAACTTGCCTGTTTTCACAGACTTATTAAAAATCAGGCCTCTGTGAAATGATATGATGTCAGAGACGTGGGGGAGGCCCACTGGAGGGTACAGATCAAACAAGAATGATTAAGATTTGATAATTATTGAAGCTGGGTGGTAAATAGATGGGTTTCCTGTACTTTGTATATGTTTGAAATTTTCTATAACAAAAGTAAAAAAAAAAAAAGAAGAAGAAGAAGAAGAAGAAGAAAAAGAAGCCTGGCTCTCTGTCTCCCAAACTAACAAACACAAATTTATTTGATTAATATACTCCCAGACCTTGCACTGTGCCAGGCCCTGTGGAGTGAGGAGGATAAATTAGGGCAGTTCATGCCTTCAAAGATAAAGCAGTGAAGGACAAAAGTGTGTTTATCCACTGGCCAGTTTGGTATCGTGATTAAGGGCCCAGGCCTTAAGGCCAGACAGAACTGGACTTAAATTTCAGCTCTGCTACTATCAGGAAATTCCTTGACTTCTCTGAGCTTCATTTGCTTCATCTGGAAAATGTGGGAGTAAGACAAATGAGAGTTGCATTGAAGCGTTATGTGGATAAAAAAAGGGAATCCATGAAAAGCCTTAGCACAGTGCCACCAAGTACACATAAACGCCTGATAGGTATTAGCTCTTTTTATAAATAATGCTATTAGTAAAAATTAAAAGTATTACAGGCAGTGTGCTTTGGAATCCAGAAGGAGTGATTCACTTTGAATGTCCCCTCACTAGGTGGCTCCCCGAGCTTGCTCTGGGCTGCTCTGTTGGGGGCCTGAGGGAAGGAGGATGCAGGCGAAACAGGTGAGGCCCACCCTGTGGGATGCAGTAGAAGAGGCCCGGGCCCGCCGGGCTGGCCTGAAGAACCTGCGTTCAGGCCTCCTTGGAGACAACCTGACGGATAGTGGGCTCAGCCAGTTGGGCAGGGCATTGCGAGAATTGCAGGTAAGCAAAGTGAGGCCTGAAGATGCCCCAGAGAGCAATGGCTAGAGCCTACCCTAAACCCCCTCTCCATAGGTAGTAAAAGCCTGGAGCCGGCGCCCAGGGAGCCTGATGCTCAAAAGGGTAAAAGCTGAGGCTGTGAGGCTCCCAGAACTACAGGTAGGTCTTCTTGTTCCACCTCTTAGGAGCCCCATTGATGTCTGCCTTCACAGAGCACTATGAGGTGGCCCTTCCTTCGTTCACTATTTACTGATTCCCAGACATTTATTGACTTCTCATTACGTGTCAGGCATAGTGCTATGCAGACCCTGGGAAATCCCTGTTCTCATGGAGTTTATAATTTCTGGAAAGAAACAATTTTTAACACCATCATCAGTGCTTTGAAGGCCCTATCAACACAGGGTTCTATGGGGCATCTAAGTTAGTCTTGGCAAGAGAAGGAAGGAACATTTCATGGAGGAAGTTGATTCCTGAAGGAGGTGAAGAACATTCTAGGCACAGAATAAATAGGCAAAGTCTTGAAAAAATAAGGGAGAGCTTGATCTCTTTGGGAGACTGCAAGTGGCTCATTTTGCTAGAGAATAGTTTGAGGAAGAGTCAAGAGAGAAGGATTAAGTAGTGAAGTTGGGAAAAAAGGGGTGAAGTGGGGGTCAGTTTATAAAGGGCTTTGTGAATTTATTGAGATATTTGGACTTCATCTTGAAGGTCAACGGGGAAACCATAGAATTTTTTTAAGCAGAGAAGACAACACTGCTTACATTTTTCAGGTGAGCAAATGGCGACTCAGAGAAGGGATCTGAGCATCTCGGGGTCACTGATACAATCAAAGGTAGCAGAAGGGCAAATATGCCCAAGTCTTTAGACTCAATATGGTACTTTTGCATCAGTTTAGAGTGCATGGCCTCTCCTGTGCAGCAGGGGGCACTGTCCTCCAGGATTTGACACTGTGTGCCTGGACGGCTGCTCCTGTCCACCTCCTGGTCCTTCCCTTTTCCTATTTCCTTACAACTTGTTTTTCTAGCCCTGAGCTCTGGGAATTAGGCAGGGAAGCTATTGAGCAGTGCCTGCCACTTGTGCTTTGGGTGCATTATCTTATTTCATGCTCTCTACAAATTTTGTCAGCTCTATTTTACATGGATTCAAAACACTAGTCATCCGCCTGAGGTCACACAGCTGAGAGGTGGAGGGGCTGGCACAGCGATCTGTCTGATTTTAAAGCCCTGAGCTTAATTCACACTATCCTGGGAGGAAGAATATGGAATTCTCACTCCTACTTTATTCTCAGCAGGTCATAGATTTAACAGCAAGCCAAAGCCCAGGATTCCAGGGAGAGCCCAAAGGTGGGTTTGGAGTTTGGGGTGAAGCTGGGTATCTCCTCCACCTTTACTGGGCTTAACTGCATTTTCTTCCAGTGGTAGGAATAACAGCATCTCTAGGACTTGGACTCCACCAAAATCATCCTCTTAGGGACTCTGAGGAACAGGTAATATACCTCATGTGCCCCAGAACAGCTGGAAGTTGTTGGGAGAGTGGAGTTGCAGAGCCCAGTTAATGTAGCTACTGCTTCTCTGTCCCAGCATCAGGAAGGAATACAGAGCTTCTGGCAAAAAGAAGACCCAAAAGCCTATGTGATTCCTAAGGGGGAGGGGGCATAGGAAGGCTATTTTCCTACTGGGTCACATTAAGGGTATAGAATCCTTCAGGCCTCCATGGTACCTATTGGCAGAGCCAGTAACTCTCCTTTCTCCCTCTGACCTCCAAGTCTCTGTCCAGGTTCCAGGCCCTTATAGGCCAGTAGGTCCTGGATGTAGTTCTGGGAGCAGCCCCGGTAGTGGGGTTCTGTTGAAAAGCTGGACCCTGAGTCCCAAAGCTGTGAACACACATGGCTTCTAAGCCTAGACTGATGCCTCCTAGGCCTGGCAGGTCCCAGATGTGGCCTTGCAGTTCTTCTTGGCCCAGGCCCAGAGGAAGAGACTGCACGAACAGCACCAAATATGGATCCAAGAGGAACTGAAGCGTTTGGGACAGGAGGAGGTGGTGGCAGGTGACCAGGTCAAAGCCCTGGTGGTTGGAAAGGAGGTAAGGAGGGTCAGGTAGGGGACTTGAGGCATCTAATTGGTCCAGGCACTATGCTGGGGGTGGAATCCAGCCTCAATCACAATAGACTGGGCCATACCCTCTCTCATGGTCTTCACAGCTTTGTGGGGGACAGATGAAGTGATTTTCAGTGCTAAGTACTGTGATGCAGGGAGCTAAGGGCTTATGGGAACAAAGAGGTGTGCCTGACCCAGGCTGGAGTGGATCATAAAAGATGGCATTTACCAGAGACAAAAAAACAGATCAGCCAGAGGAATTTACTAGACTGAGCTCCGCTTGGGCAGTCTGTACCATCACATAGAGGCACTGAGTAAATATAACTTGTTTGAGCAAATTCAGAAAGAAAACTTGTGTCCATGGAGGTGGTGCAGATATGTTCTGAGGACAATACTGTATGAGCAAAAGTCCAGAGGGAAGCAGTGGCAAAGTACAGTCTGGGTCAAACGAATTGTCCATCTGGCGGGTCCTGGCAGGTGCAGGGTCAGAGGTGAGACTAAAGAGACCAGTGTGTGCCATGCCTCTGAATTTGGACTTTACCCTAAGAGTGACAGCAAACCACTGAAAGGCATTTGTCATCTCAGTTCTGTCCCTCGCTAGCCATGTGAATTTGTGCAGGTTAGGTCACTTCTCTGATCCACGGTTTCCAAATCTATGTACCCGATTTGGAAAACTAAAATGGCAACTACCCCATATGGTTTTTTCACTGGAGAAAGTGAAATAATACACATGAAGTGTTTAGAAGAGAGCCTGGCACACAGGTAGCACTGAACAAAGAATATGTATTATCACTGAAGGCCTCCAAGGAGAGGCAGAGATGGCCCCGGGAGCAGACGATGCTGAGACTGCGGCTGGAGGCCCTTCAAGCAGAGCAGGACACTGCGGAGCAGGACCTCGCAGCCCTCTATGACCTGCACGTGCAGGCTGCCCGAGCTCAGACACGCCACATGCTGCTGGTCAGTGAGGTCAGAAGGCAGGCCTTGAAATGGTTCCAAGGCTGACTGGCTGACAAGCATCTCTCAATCTGGGCACAGGTATTCCGAGCCTGGCGAAGGCTGTGGGAGGAGCAGGCCATGACCACAGAGCATCACCACCGCAGCCTACTGGCTGGTGTCCTACAAGACAACATCAACCTGGCCACGCAGAACCAGGAGCTCCAAGCCCAGAACCAGCAGCTTCAGCAGGGAGTAGATTAGGCTGAGGCCAATCATTGGCAGATTGCTGCCCTGGGGAGGGATCTGATGATCAGTAATCCTGCAACAGCAGCTTCCTTTCTCTTCATTCTTAAGGGGCTTAGAAGGGAGAGGGAGGGGGCGCCTGGGTGGCTCAGTGGGTTAAAGCCTCTGCCTTTGGCTCAGGTCATGATCCCAGAGTCCTGGGATAGAGCCCCGCATCGGGCTCTCTGCTCGGCAGGGAGCCTGCTTCCTCCTCTCTCTCTCTGCCTGCCTCTCTGCCTACTTGTGATTTCTGTCTGTCAAATAAATAAATAAAATCTTTAAAAAAAAAAAAAAAGAAGGGAGAGGGAGGGGGGACACAACCACCAAGCTAACCTTCATTATGGATAATTAACAATACCACTAACCAGGTCTCACTGTGCCAGTCCCTGTTAGGCGCCTAATACCCATGACTTCATTTTAGCCTTTCCTGCTACGCTATATAGTGGTAGGTACCATTTGACCCCCATTTCAGAGGTAAGGCTAAGGCAACTAAGGCTTGGAGAGGTTGAGTAATTGCCCAAGGACAGTCAGCTAATAAGCGACAGAGCCAGAATTCGAATTCAAGCCAGGCTGACCATAGTTCTACACTGCAGACAGTGGTTCACAAGATGCAGTGTGTACATTTAGAGAGTTTATTAAAGAACAAGAAAAAAAAAAAAAGATTCCTAGACCCTACCCTACTTCCTAAGATTCTCCAATAGTTCTCACTTTTTCCCTCTTACTTTTTTTTAAATTTAAGTTTAGTAGGTATTCTCTCACAGGAGCAGGGATAATGTTCCTCTGGCCATGAGGAGAGATGACACAAAAGAGTATCAATGACAGAACCAGAGGAAATGAGAATCAAAACCACACTGAACCCATGAGTTCTCTATCCTAAAATCTAGTTTGTCTTGCCAGGACTAGTACCTTCTATTCCCAAGAATCCCTCCAAATTCCCCAGCACCCTAGTTTTACGCTTCAGAGAAATTTGTAAAGTTCTATGACAGAGAACAGTCTCTACTCCATGGAGCCCTGAAGGAAATAATGCTCCTGGCAACAATCAGAAGAAAATAGTATTTTCTCCTAGTCTGTAAGTTACTCCAGCATTAAGACATTCCAGGTCCAAGATGAACAAAATTATGTTTGAGTGAAGCTACACGGCACAGAAGGCGCAGGACTATCAGAGCCAACTGCAGGAACCACCTGCACCCCAGAACCCTTTATTAAGACTTTATTGCTTACATAGTTAAGAGACACTGATTGAGCGACACCAAATTTCCCTGTGCCTGGTTCCAGGTCACTCTGCGCAGAGCTTCCCTAAACTGTTGAGAGCTGGGACACTGCCAGGCAGAGGCAGGACCCAGAGTGAGAAGAATGGTACCTCCTAGGAGTTGTAGAAGGGGCAGTGGGCTTTGAAAGGGCCCTTGGGGTGAGCAGAGAGGTCAGGAGTGTAGCCTTAAGCCAGGGCCCAGGGGCAACATTCCCTGAGATGAGTCAAGCTCCAGCCCTCTCTGGGGTTTCCAGAACAAAGGCTGGGTGGGTGTGGAGAGCAGCACTTTGGAGGGAGCATGGGGCATTGTCTCCAGGTGTTGCTGGAGCTAGGGGAGCTTGGAAGGGTGGCCTCGGTGATTGGAATAAAAGGGGTGGCAATCGGGCTTTCCTGCATTAGTGAGGGATGAATGTCTCTAATGAGGGAGTCATGTACCAAAGCTGGGCTGGAGTACCCCGTACCAGGCCTGGGAGCAATGGGTCTGCTGTGGTGACCGCTAGTGGCAAGGAAAGCCAACTGTTGCCCATGCCCCACTTCAAAAAACTGCATTCATGCAAGATGAGGCAGGGAGCCTCCTCCATTGGGGGTGGAGTCATTTCTAAGGCCTAGGTATTGATGCTCCCCCAATCCTTAGTGTGGATGAACTTCTGAGACATTTCTTTACTCACACCCAGTGTTTAAGTCTCCTGAAGTAACCCTTCGTTCACCCACCTCCAGGGACTAACCTGGCTGCTCTCACCTCCCCAGCTTTTGTCACAAGGCACTTGTTACAGGGCTGGCTTCTGAGGAAGGGTTGGGAGGCCTGGGAGGTGGCTCTGACGGCGGTGCCCTATCTACGGAGTCAGGAGTCTGGGTGGAGGGGGTCAGGGACTAGTGACTGCCATAATAGAGGCGCACAGCCAGACCAATGAGCAGCGTGGCCAGGAAGAAGGCAGCCGTGAGCTGCAGCCGCAATAGGGCTGCTGAGAGCACGGCATTGACCACCAGTGAGCAGGACACAACGAACAGGCGTGTGATGCTGCTGCCGTGCTTCATGACAGCCGACATGAGCAGTCCATTCAGTGCCTGGCTCAGCACCACCAGCGCTGCCCATCCAGAGAAGCCCTCCAGGAGGCCCGGGCCGGGGCCACCACCTGCATGCAGACCTAGGTTCAGGAGCACACCGAAAGTGTAGAGGAAGAGGTTCTGAAGGGCGAGGGGCAGCCGCTGTCGCTTCATAAGCAGTTCTGTGTACACGGACGACAGGCCTGAGATGAGGCAGTACAAGATGAGAAGCAGCAGTCCCAGTGGAGTGACATGCAGGGGCATGGGGCCAGCAGCAGCTGCTGAAGGCGGTCCAGGAAGTGTGTTCCCAGGGTCCTGGAGGCCACCAGCTGCATAGCAGGCCCCCGCTGCCATCAGCAGCAGTAGTGCTAAGCCCTGGCGGGCAGAGAGGCGGTGCCGGAGACAGAGGCAGTAGAACAGGGCCGTGCTTCCGATCTTGAGATTGCTCAGCACCTGGTAGGTGCTGGGGTCCATGTAACGTTGAAGATAAATCACCAGGTTGTTGTTAGCGCCGTAGAGTAGGGCTGATAGTGCAAAGGGGGCAGCCTGGCGCCATGGTGGGGCCCCCTGGGGCCATGCTTGCCAGCCCACCAAGAGGGAGAAGGCGCACAACAGTAGCTTCGTCAGCTCGGTCAGCAGCACAGCTGAGGAGGGCCGAAAGGGCACTCTGCCATTCACATGGCACAGTGCCAGTAATGGGGCATGAGCACCGTACATGGCAGTGGACAGGAGTAGCATCAGGGTCCAGCGGGCCTGCCTGGGACGGCCCAGGCCTGGTGTACCCCCGTCCTCTACGCTCATGCCCAAACCAGACCCTGGCTGGCCTGGGTAGCTAGCAAGGGGGCAGCAGGAATTGGAACACGTTTGGGTAAAATCAGTATGGAGCCAGCGCCTAGGAGGGAGGAGTTGTGGGACATCGCTAGACAGAATACTGAGAATCAGAGTCAGCTGCAAACTCCACAGTCAGGGCTGGAAGAGGAAGGGGCTGGTGGCCCTAAAAGCCACAGTCTTGGGGCCAGTCCCATGGGGTTAAGAAGGGGCATCCAAACTGCTGGCTGATAAGCCACTCTTTACCCTCTGCAGGTAGGAAAGCAAGGATGAAGGCTGTGGGCAAGTTGGAGATGGCAAAAGGGTGACAAGTGGGGAAGCCAAATATGGTGTCTGTGGTTGAAAGACCTCTACCTGCAGGCCCGAGGTGCTCATCCTTCCTCCCCCATGGGATCCAGAGTTAGTCAGGCCCCTTTCGCAATGACCGAAGATAGTCCCTCAATGTCTTCTCCACATTGGGCACGGCATATGCCTGAGCTGCGTAGATGCCAGTGCAGGTACCCACAGCAAAGCCCAATACTGCGGATGCCCTCAGTTTGGCCACCACATAGCCGGCTAAGAAGCCCTTGAGGAATGGGGAGGACATGAGCGAGCCATCCTGTGGAGTAAAATGAAGGAAGAAACTCAGCCAGGGTCTCCCTTCTCAAGCTGGCCCTAGATCTACTCAAGCTGGCCCTAGAGCATCCCACCACTAGCTCCTCCTTACTCTAAAAAGCTGCAGTATTGTCTCCAAAGATTTTCTCAAGGTTCTGGAGGCAGAAAAAGAACCTAGAAGTCCTCATCACACAATCTCAGAACACCGTGGTTAGAAGACTCCAAGGACAGAATCCTACCCCAACAAACCTACAGAGGAATCGGACCTGTCTGCTTCTCCAGCCTCACTTCCTATCATGCTCTGCATTACTGCAGCCAAAGTTAAACTATTTTTACTCCCCATGTTCATCATGCTACCTCCAACCATAAGAGCTTTGCATATATTGTTTATCTGCCTGAAATGTTCTCTCCTCTCCTCTTTACCTAGTTAATTTCTACTTAGGATGCCAGTTCAAGTGTCATTTTCTGGTTTTTTTTTTTTCGTCATTTTCTTAGGGAAATTTTCCTTGGGGTCACAGAGAACCCACCTCAATAACCATTTGCTGAATAAATCTTTAGTACCCATTCAAAAGCGTATAGGGCAATGCATCCCAAGGGTGGTGGGATGGGGAGTCAGGTGGGTGGGGTGGGGGAGTGGTAGGCAGGTGCATGCAACTTTACCTGGCTCACACCACTGCTGACTTCGTCTTCTACACGCTGCTGCAGGCGTTCCAGCTGGTTCTTTAGAAATGCCAGGTCCTTAAGCTTGGGCAGAGAATCCTAGAACAAAAAAGAAGTGGGCTCCAGCAGGTTAACGCAGCCCCATTCCCTGCTCAGGTCTATCAGAGGTTGGGTGGATGGGGCTGTGAGCATGAGAAATCTCATCTTATAAAAACTTCCTGAAGGGCGCCTGGGTGGCTCAGTGGGTTGGGCCTCTGCTCAGGTCATGATCTCGTGTCCTGGGATTGAGCCCTGCATCGGGCTCTCTGCTCAGCGGGAAGCCTGCTTCCCACCCCCCCCCCCCCGCCCCTGCCTACTTGTGATCTCTGTCAAATAAATAAAATCTTAAAAAATAAAAAGTAAAAATTTCCTGAGATGATAGTGGTAACGAAGAAAAGACATTCAAAAGTGAATTCCCATGGGGGCCACAGAGGGCGTGATAGCTGGGATCTGCATCTGTGAAAACCATTACAGAATTTTATAGAGCAAGAAGTGTGTAGGGAGGCAAGATGAACAGCTAGGACACTTTCAATTAGATTTATCAGGCTGACTGCCTCGATTATAGGCTGCCTGAAAGTGGCAACCAGCTCGTCTTGCCTACTGGATCCCCAAGCCTAACACAAAGACTGGTAAGTACTTTGTAAATATGCGGATGGTGCTGAACTTTAGACTGAGAGTGAATAATGGCGTGAGGCAGTTTCCTGGACGCCCTTGGGGTAAATCTGATTTCTGCCCGGACTTCCCAAACTGAATGTGTGACTGGATGCGCTAGCTGGGGTGCGGGTTGGGTGGCTGTCTGCAGATGTGCGGGTAAATGAACTGAGTAGCTCTGATCATCTCGAAGTATGAAATTCATTGTAAGCGCAAGAGAGTTTGAATGAGAATGTGCGTATCCTTGTGGCTTGGAAACATTGTGTTTCTAGACATGAAATTTCGGGGGGCTGGGGAACGCAAAAGGGTGAGGATGTGTCAGGGTGAGTGTGTCTTAGTGTGTGCCAGTAATTAAGGATTATGAGGGTCCCAGGAGAGGACACCCGGGAGATGTCCGGCTCTACTTGCCTCGTGTAGTGCTCCGCTACTCCACTCCCCGGTGTTGAGCCAGTCGCAAGAGTATAAACCCGACAAGAGTAAAAACCCCATAAAGGGCACCTCTACGCGAGAGGCTCCAGTGTCGCCTCTCCCAAAGACCAGAACGGTGTGAAAACCACCCCACATTGCAGATAACCCCCACATTCACTCACCTTGTCATCCGCCATCTTCCCCCGCCGAACTTGTGGCGCAGGCGCAGCCCCGCCTCCCACTTGCCAAGTGCTACGGCCATCTTTACTGAGGGCGGAGGCACTTCCGGGGCATTTTTGGAAAGGGTGAGGGTGCTCTCCCCTCGCCGGAGTCCCTGTGGTCTCATTCTTTCACGTACTCTCACGTGACCCGTCCGGCGCGACACAATTTGTGTGTCCGCGCTCACACGTCCCGGGCGCGATGAGCTCATTGGTCCTCATGGGCGCCCTGCGCACGTTCGTCTTTCTGGTCGTCCGCCCCTTGATGAGCTCACAGTTCCGCCGTGATGTCAGTGGGGGCGTTGGCGTTGGTGCGTCTTTCCCAGAGCCACTCTCGGAAACACCGATCCGGTTGGCGATCCAGAGGCCTGTTTACACGCGCCACCCCTTGGCGGGCGGTGCTCCTCAGGCTTGTCCTCTCCCTCCCCTGAGATCCGGCTCTTACCCAAGCTCGTATTTGTGCGGCGCGCGTTGGCCAGGCCAGCGCAGAGAGGCTGGGCTTGTGGGCGCAGCAGCTCCGGAGGTCGAGCTGGGCTGAGATTGCGGGCCGGCAAAAGCCGGCGGGGACGCGGTCGGGGCTATGCTGGGCAAGGATTACATGCTGGCCATCATTCTGGTCAACTGCGATGGTGTGCACGGAGGGGCCCGATGGGAGGATGGGTGCTGAGGGAATGAGGGAGTTGACGGGGTATATCTCAGGGTGAGGATCAGGGGACAAATGAACCCTGGATCTTTGCACTCTAAAGGACCTCCTGGCCCTCCATCCTAAGGATTGTCCCGTTTGGGATGGAGGGAGGGTTCTTTTATTTTTTAATTTTAATTTATTAATTTGAGAGAGAAAGCACAAGCAGAGAGGAAAGGGAAAAGCAGGCTCCCTGCTAAGCAGGAAGTCCCACGTGGGGCTGATTCCAGGACCCTGAGATCATGACCTGAGCCGAAGGCTGCAGTTTAACGGATTGAGCCACCTGGGAGCCCCGGAGGGAGGCTTCTGTCAGGGTTATTTTGAACCCACCAATATGCCTTTCCTCTCCAATCTCATGATTCTTCTCCCCATCCCATGTTCCTGTAGATGACTTGTGGGGGGACCAGAGTCTTGAGGGGGAGCCAGGACTGCCCCCTGGCTGGAGGAAGATATGCGATGCTGCAGGTACTTACTATTGGCATGTACCCAGTGGCAGCACCCAGTGGCAGCGCCCAACCTGGGAAACAGGAGATGGAGAGGACCCAGGCACGGTAGGTGGAGTGTGAGGAGGGAGGCTGAGCCCTCACGTGGATCTAGGCCTACTGCCGCCACACTGACTTAGTTCCCTTTTTACAGAGGACGGAGAGGATTTGGGGACTTCGGCCCCCCAAGGGGAGATCCTTCTCCAGCCTGGAGAGCTCACTGGACCGCAGGTAACAGGGATAGGTCAGGCCAAATGAAAGACTTGGGGTTCCATGGCATTCAGGGATGCAACTGGACTCTCATTCTGCCTTTAAGCCCAGGTTCTTAGCTCTGTCCCATTTCTTGAGTTAAGACTCTGTGTTGCTGTATGTTTTGCTACGTGTTCTTCCCTATTCTGGGTACTGGTAAATCATGTTCTAGATCTTGGCCACTGTACTAAGCTCTTTCCATGGGAGTGCCTGTCCTGTGTTTTAGAGAGTCTTGTCTCAGTTTGGGGTTCTGGTCCATGTTTTGGATCCTGTTCCCCGTTTGCAACTTTTATTCTATGTTCTAAGTTTTGAATTTTTGTTTGAATTTAAACCACACTCCGTGTTACATTTATTTAATATATCCTGGGCCCTCTCCCACTCTGGTTTTGTATTTGGGGTACTGTGTTCTGGGTCTTATCCCACATTTCATGCCCATTGCTTAGCCAGGGCTTCCCCACTGTCCCTTGTGTAGGAAGTGTGGTCACTTTACAAGCTCTGCTCTCTTCCAGGAACTCTCTGTCCTGGTATGGTGAGGAATCCTACATCCAGAGCATGGAGCCAGGGGCTAAGGTAGTGTCTTGGGCCTGAGGGCCCAAGAAATGGTTTTGGAGGTGGTGGATTGTTCTGGATTGTTCCAAGGGAAAGGTTAGGGGTGGGACTGGGCTGAGAAGAGGTGATGAAGGGTGAAAGGAGTGGGTACCAGAAGGTTTATGTGTGTGGAACCCACAACATCTGCCATCCTACTTTACCTCCTGTTCCACTTCCACATCTGCCTCCACTCACTCATGGCCCTCCTGTCCTTTCCCCTAACCCATCAGTGCTTTGCAGTCCACTCCCTGGGTTGGGTAGAGGTACCCGAAGAGGATCTGGTACCAGGAAAGAGCAGTATTGCAGTCAATAACTGCATCCAGCAACTGGCCCAGACTCGCAGCCGTAGCCGCAGCCAGCCCCCAGATGGTGCCTGGGGCGAGGTGAGCTGGCTGGCCCTTCAAGGGATTCAGCCCAGGGCCTAGCGGAGAGAGTCATTGCTGAATTGCCTGTTCTTGGTGGCAGCCGCCTTCATCTGAGCTCTGAACTGACCTTTCCTTTGCAGGGCCAGAACATGCTGATGATCCTAAAGAAGGATGCCATGAGCCTGGTGAATCCTCTGGACCATAGTCTGATCCACTGCCAACCTCTGGTGCACATCCGTGTGTGGGGTGTGGGCAGCTCCAAGGGCCGGTGAGGACCCCTACGTCCCCCCAAGTGAGAGTTGCTCCTCCCTCCCTCCTGCAGGCTGTGATCCCCACTGATGCTGATCCTCTGTACTTGAACCCCTGGACACAGATCCTCTGACATGGACCCAAGCTCTGCCTCCCCTGCCTGGTCCAGCTCTGGTTGGGGAGGGTGGGCCCAGCTCAGCAGGGACGGATGGGGGAGAGCCTGAGAGGCTGGGCTGATTCTCTCCTGTGCTCCCACATGCTTCCGGAACAGTGACAGGTGAGCGACAGCCTAGTGCCTTGAACCCCAGCCCTGACCTCCCGATTCTATCCGCACCATGTTCCTTGCCTGACTTTCCAGTCTCCTGCAGACACTACAGGTCCCTTTTCCTACCCAGCCTCTACCCTACCCCAATTTCTGCCTCTGCCCCAGCCCCATCTCTGACCCTGCCAGGGACTTCGCTTTTGTGGCGGGTGACAAAGACAGCTGTATGCTCAAGTGCCATGTGTTTCGCTGTGATGTCCCTGCCAAGGCCATCGCCAGTGCCCTGCATGGGCTCTGTGCCCAGGTAAGAGCCAAGAGTGGGGCAGGGAATGTGGGTATGTAGCTGGTGTGAAGCTTCCAAGGTGGTTAGGTCAGGGAAGTATTGGCTGCCTTAACCTCAGTTCCCCTCTCCCTTAATCTCCTGCTGGTTGCATTGTGTTTCAGATCTTGTCAGAGCGAGTGGGTGTCAATGGTGATTCCCCTTGCTCCTCCCTAGACCCCATCTCCCCTGAAGACCTACCACGGCAAGGTATGGAGAGGAAGGTCCTGCATTACAGTAAGAGGCTACTTCCGTGAAAGTCTGGGTTGCTTAGTTGTTGTAGTTTAGTCCTTCCCTGGAGATGCGGGACTTCTGATGTGTACTGGTTCCAGGGATCCCAAACTCTGAATTGAAGGAGCATCCATGGCCTTCCTTCTTCTGTCTCCAGTTCTCAGAAGGGTGGGTGAGGGGGTCATTGAGAGAGTGCCCAGGCCAACTTGCTGTGTGTGCGTTTCAGTGGAGCTGCTGGATGCAGTGAGTCAGGCTGCTCAGAAGTATGAGGCACTGTACATGGGGACCTTGCCAGTCAACAAAGCCATGGGTGAGGACTGAGCTGGCTGAGGAGGTGGGCTACATGAGGTCGGGGAAGGTGGGTATGGTAGGATCTACCATCATTTCTCAGAGTGCTCCCATGGCCCTGTCTGGTCTAGAATGGGAGATCCTTCCCAACTCAGGATTCTAAACCCAGCCCCAGCCCTTCCATTGCCATCTCTCTGAATCCCAAGTCAGTGAGAGGGGCCTAGACACTCCCTGTAGATCCCTTCTTTCTTTATGTCTGGGAGACATTATGGTGGGCATGTCCCCCCCCAGGCATGGACGTGCTGAATGAGGCCATTGGTACCCTCACCACCCGGGGGGACCAGGATTCCTGGGTCCCTGCCATGCTCAGTGTGTCTGACTCTCTAATGACTGCACATCCCATTCAGGTACCAGAAGAAGGTGAAGTTGGGGGCTGTGGAGGGGGTGGGAGGGATGCTGAGGGGCTCATTGCATGCTATTGGAAGAGTTCACTGGATCCAGCCAGTGCCCGGTCCTCTAGTGACCAGGCCTGGTGTGGGCAGGCAGAAGCTGGTGCAGAGGAGGAACCACTATGGCAGTGCCCTGTGCGCCTCATGACCTTCATTGGCATTGGTCGTGACCCTCACACTTTTGGCCTCATTGCTGACCTGGGCCGTCAGAGCTTCCAGTGTGCAGCCTTCTGGTGCCAGCCCCACGCAGGGGGACTCTCTGAAGCTGTGCAGGCGGCTTGCATGGTGAGTTTTGGGTGGGAATGGGTAGGTGGGGTTGCCCTGCAGCTGCTCTGTACTGGTGACTGGGGCTCGGGATTGGCAACCTCCAGAAATCACAAACGAGTAATCCCAGGGCTGATTGTAGTAAACTGCTCTTTTATTTGGTCCTCATGCTGTTTTTAATAAGTTTGAGTTAGTTGCTAATATTTAGAGCTAGGACATCTCACATATTAATTGCTATTCCTGTTTCTCTTAAAATAGCAGAACCTCTGGCACTGGGTCCACACATACAAATTTTAACATTCAGCTGAATTGTGTAGGGGCTGTTCGCAGTAGGGTGGGCACTATTTCTCCTGTTTGTCTCAGGTTATTTCCTGACATCTGTGGGCACTGGAATGTGGGATGCTTGCAGTCTGAATTCATCTTACTCTTTCCTTAACAAACGTGAGTGCCTGCAGGGTACTAGGCACCATACTTGATCCCTCACAGAACACTCAGGTTAGATCAGAGACAGACCAGAAGGCAGTTGTACACCACAGGAAGATGGAGGAGACCGCCCATTCCTGAAGGCCACCTGGAAGAGTTGATAGCTGAGAGTTGAAGGTCCGAGGAAGAAGTTAGGTAAAGGGGATTGGGACAGAAGGTGTGCCAAATACAAGGACGCCCAGTTGTGAAGATGAGAGCAATATGAGTGGATTACGGTATCTAAAAGAATCTAGTGTATCTGGAGCGACAGATGAAGTGAGAGAAGGGGGCAGAAAAAAACATTGAGTCATGGAAGAACTTAGAGATTGTGGTCATGAGTTTATTTGTCCCAAGTTACTTTGAGCCATTGAAAGGTTTTGAGCAGTGAGTTTAAGTTTGTGGATCAGGAAGACAACTTAAGGTATATTATAGGTAAGTTTGAATTCCAGTTCTATCATTTTTTTGCCTAGGTGACCTTGGGCAAGTCATGTATAATCTCTCTGAACCAAAATTTCCCCATTTGCAAAATGGTGATAACACCTCATAAATAACTTTGGATTAAGTTAGGTTATGTAAAGCATGTAGCACAGTGTCTAGCTCTCCTTAAATGCTCAGTAAATGTCAAATTTTCTGTTTCTGTTATTGAGCTCCCTGGGAATGCTGTAGGGGCTCCAGTTGGGGCCGACTACCAGCTTTATTCGACTACCAGACTGAAGCCATGGCCAGTTGCCTCTTCTGCAGAAGCTTTTAGGGAGTCCAGGGGCAGAAAGGAGCTGGATCCTCACATTCCCCTTTTCCCTAGGTTCAGTACCAGAAGTGTCTTGTGGCCTCTGCAGCTCGAGGCAAGGCCTGGGGTGCCCAGGCCCGTGCCCGCCTGCGGCTCAAGCGGACCAGCTCCGTGGATTCCCCAGGAGGTCCCCTGCCACTCCCCCTGCTCAAAGGAGGGGTTGGGGGTGCAGGGGCAGCCCCTCGAAAGCGGGGTGTCTTCTCTTTTCTTGATGCCTTTCGCCTGAAGCCCTCTCTGCTCCATATGCCCTAAATTAATCCAGGACTGGGTAAGGAGGCTCTGGGTCCATACCCAACTCTGTACCCCTTCATTCTCCAGGGGCCTGTAGCCTCTCACTCCTTGAAGCCTTCTCTGCCTGCTCCTATGGCTCTTGCCTACCCTCTGTTTATTGCCCAGTTTATTAAATGTTTATAGGGATGACTGAGAGTCCCTGCACCACAACCCAGGCCCCTGGCTGTCCTTTCCCTGGGTCCCCGTGTTCCATGCCCCTGTCTGGCCCTGGACAGTTGGCTCTACCTCAGCAACACTTTATAGCAAAATCAGTACAAATAAAAATCCCTCAGTGACCTCACTGGGTGTGAGTAATTGGGCCTGGGACAGGGTTGGGGGTTAACACCTGTGTGAGGTGAGTGTCTGTGTCTCTGCTTGGTGTTGGTGGCTGCCTGTAGTCACATGAGGACTTGGTGTGGTGGAAATCTGATTTTATTCTTTCAACAAATGTATTTTCTGAGGTCTGTGTGCTAGACAGTGTGGATATAAAATACGGGTTCCACCTTCAGAAGGGGAGATGAACAAGCATTAAGTGAGGTAGAAGATAATAGGTAGTACAACTAGGAAATCTCAGGGTTGTGGAGGCTCCAGTGAGATTCTTAACCTGACCTAAGTACTGAAAGGAAATCAACAGTAGTTACTGAGCCTTGAGAGTATAAATGTGCAGGGCCGTAGACAGAGGTGAGGTTCTAGAGTTCCACCTGGCTAGATCACACAGGGAAATTTGTGGGGCAGGAGTTTCTGGTGGTTAAAATTTACTCCTGAGAACAACTGTGACAGTTTGAACCTACAGGGGATTAGGACACCTAGACCGCCGCCTTTTGGAAAACAGCCCCCTTCGGTGCCTTGTGATCAGGGCCCCGATGACTCATTAGCTGGAGATTTCGAGTACTTTAGGGAGCTGCGGCAGCGTTCCCACAGCGGCTCCTCCCGGGATTTCTGAACAGCCATACGACGTAACGGGCTCCTGGCAACCAGCCGGCCCGGGGGTGGCAACCGCTCTGCTGAACGGCCGTCCCGGAAGTGACGCGCTGTGCCGCTGGCCTTGCGGAAGTGGAGATGGCGGAGCTGTATGTGAAGCCGGGTGAGCGCGGCTTGGGGTCGCTGGGTCGTCCCCCTACCCATGCTGAGGGCAATTATTGCACGGGGGGGTGGAGCCTTCGTCTCTCCGGGGCTCGTTTCACATGTCGCCTCACTCACGCAGGCAACAAGGAGCGTGGCTGGAATGATCCTCCGCAGTTCTCCTACGGGCTGCAGACCCTGGCTGGTGGACCCAAGCGCACGCCGCTCACCAAGAGGGTCGCCGCTCCCCAGGATGGCTCCCCCAGAGGTGCGTGGGGCCCCTGTGTGCGGAGACCCGCCGAGAGGGCGGTGCCAGGGATAAACTTGCCCTGAGGGCCCTTTTTGCTCCTCTGAGGTCTCTCTGAAAGGAGCTCCATAAAGGGGCACAGGGCAGGCCCTTTTCCCGGCTCCTTCTTTGCTGCCTATGTCAATAAATGGTAAGTTTCAGTAGAATCTCTCTTTGCTTTATATATAGGTGAGCTCATCCAGACCTATGGTTTTTTAATAGTTTTTATTCCCAAATTGTTTCCACATTTTATTTCCAACCTGAATACCATAGCTATATATTCATTTGTCTTGTGCTACCTCTTCATTTGGTTGTCTGGTAAGATCCAGACTTAATGTGTTCATTCATTCATCCAGTCAGTGTTATCCACTGAGCATCTCTGAGCCAGGCACTGCTTGAGGGCAAACTAGACAGCAGTGAACAAGACAAAAAGGTTTCTATTTTCATGTCTGTCTCCAAAGCTAGGCTATACTCTAGCTTTGGAAATAGATTAAGTAGTGGTAAGGGCTCTGCAGAGAAAACAAGGTAATGCAAGAGTGACTCTGTAACTAAGGTGGCTGAGGAGCTGACATTGAAGCTAAATGGTTAAAACCTAGCCCAGCAAAGATCAGGTGCAAGAGCATCCCATACGCAGTAAACAGTTAGTGCAAAGGCCCTGAGAACAAGTTTGGCAAATTCAGAGACTGAAGGAATACCTAATGGCCAGAGGACAGTGGGTTAGGTAGAGAAATTACAATCTGAGGAGTAGGCAGGGGCCAGATCATAGCAGATTTTATAAAGCATGATAAGGAAGTTTGTATTTTAATCTGGGTAAAGTTGGAAGCCATTGAAAAGTTTAAAGTAGAGGGATACCTGTACTTCCAAGCATGTCCTGCGTGAACAACTGAGGCTATGGCCCCAAAAGGGGCTCAGATTTAGCTCTTTCAGCACCCCTATGTTATCAGTACTCACACTGCAGAGGAATGACACAAACCAGGGTTTTAAAAAAAAAATTTTTTTTTTTTTTTTTAAAGAACAAACAAGTGGGGGAGGGGTAGAGGGAGTGAGATTCCCAAGCAGGCTGCATGCCTAGCACAGAGCCTGATGTGGGGGCTCAATCTTATGACCCTGAGAGATCATGACCTGAACCGAAATCAAGATTTGGATGCTTAACTGAGCCACACAGATGCCCCACAAACCAGGGTCTCATAATCTTGGCACGGCTGACATTTTGGGCCAGATAATTCTTTGTGGTGAGGAACTGTCCTGTACCTTGTAGGATATTTGTAGCACTCCTGGTTTCTACCCACTAGATGCCAGTAGCATTCACACAGTTGTGGCAGCCAAAAGCACCTCTAGACATTTGCCCCTGGGGGCAAAATCTCCCCAGCCTGAGAAACAGTGACTGATGTACATCTTAAAAAAGATCACTGTGCCTGCTATATGAAAAAATAGATTTTAGTGAAGATGTGAAAAGGCAAGTTAAGAGGCTATTTCAGTAACATGAGGAAGATTTAACAATGATTTGAACAAGAGGAGGGAGTATAGAGGTAATAGAAATTGGATGGATGTAGCACATGTTACTGAGGCAGTCAGTAGGAACAGATAGGTGAGAGAAAGAATCAATATAATAGACTTTCCACTTGAGGAACTGGCTGGTATTGTTCATAGGTATGGGAAACCAGGGAATGGGGGGGGCAATATAAGTTTGAGGGGAGGGGAAAAGCAAGCTTTGTCTTGGACATGTTAAAATTTGGGCTGCTACTGCGGGGAGGAGAGGTCTAGGCCAGAATTACAGAAATGAGTCTTGATTGTATGGATCGTGTTTGATGTTGTGGGCTTGAATAAGGTTACTTAAGAATGTGTGGAAAGAGGCCTAAAGGGGGTTCAAGATGGAGCCCTAAAGCTCCCTAGCATTTCAAGGTTGAGTAGAAAAGGAATTACTAAAAGGGCTTGAGAAATAGCTAAAGTAGCAAGAAGAAAAGTGAAATTTACTCAGTAAAATTTTGACTCAACCAACCATGATGGATGATGCTGAGAGGTCAGGACAGATAGAGAAAAGGGACCTTGGCTTTGCCGAACTAAATTGTGATAATGTGGTTACCACAGAAGCAGTCCACGGAGTAATGAGAGTAGAAACGCAGCTGGATGGGCGGAGAAGAGAATGTAAAAAGAAGTAGAGAGACTATACACTATATAGCTCATTGAAGAAATCCTGCTGTGAGACAGAAATGAGGCTATGCCTAAGGATGGAATGGGAGGTAAGGGAGGATTTTTGTTTTTAAGATGGTAAACACTAGAGCATGTCTGTATGCTGATGGGATGATTCTCTAGTGGGAGAATTGGTGGGACAGGAAAACAGGGTAGCTGCAGGAGAGAAGCCTAGAGAAGACAAGAGACTGGTATTAGTATAGCTGGAAAGATGGCCTCTGATAGGAGCAAGAAACTTTCATCCATTAGAGGAAGGAACGTGGCCCCAGATACAAGCAGATTAGTAGAACTGGTGGTGAGGAGATGAGAGTTCCTGTTTAATTACCTCCCTTTTCTCAGTGAAATATGAGGCAGTGTTGGATGTAGAATCCAGGGAAAGGAAAAGTAGGGGGAGAAGACAAAAATTCAGAGAGAAAATGTGAGAAGAGTTCTGAAGAATGGAAAAATGAGGCAAAGGATGAGAATTCCAGGCAGTGGTGGATACCTTTTAATATCTGTACCCAAGAATTTAAAGTGTAACTCAACAGCGTGGTTCTGTTTTTCCTTCTAACAAGTGTGGGCAAGTTGGGTTTATCAGGAAAGTGGGACCATGGGAGGGGATAAAGTGAGGTAAGAGTGTCTATAAGGGAGTGATTTTAATGCATGAAAAACTGATTGGGCTGGAAAGACAGAGGTTTTGGAGATGGCACAGTGTTAAGAACAAGGCAGAGAGGAGTGAGAGGTTGAGGAAAGGTGGGAAAAATCATCATTGGAGGTGAGGAGCTTAAACTGAGAGGCCATACAAGAAGATGAAATAATCATCTGTGTGAATGTTGATGCCTAGAATCAAATGACTTTTCTCTTTTTTCATAATGCTTTCCACCATCCCATTACTATAGGCAAAAACCAAGAGTCATCCTTGACTCCGCTCTCCCTCACTCCCAATCCATAAAGTCCTGTTGCTTCTTCCTCCTAAATAAATCTCAGAGCACTCTGTTTCACCTCATCTGATCTCTCTCTAGTCCATTCCAGGGTTCTCTTTCCCAGACTACTCCATTAACTTACCAACTATTGTCCATGCCTACTATTCTTGATCTGTTCTCATCTATTTTTCACAGACCCTACAGAGTGAATGTCTTAAAAAACACGTCTAGTCACATCACCCCCTGCTTTTATAAACCTACAGTGGCTTCCCATTACCATTAAACTCAAGACCAAACGCCTCCAAAGCCCTACATGGCCTGGACTCCTGCTTGCTTCTCCAGAGATAACTAATACTGCTTTCTGCAGTGTTAATAATTTCCAGCCAGACAGGGCTGGTCTGTGTAACTTGAACAAGTCAGGACTTACCCTGGCTCTTAGGCACTGCTCTTACCTCTGCCCAGTACATGATTCTTTGTGGCTGCATCTGCCTCATCCACTAGCTATAAACTTTGTGAACTGAACATTTTGCTATATAGTAATCTGGCAGTTGCACCTATATTCTTAGTCATCATTGAAGTCTTGTGACGTAAGTGCTCCTACCATGAGATCCCCATTTTATAGAAAAGGAACCCAAGCCCAGAGGTTAACCTGCCAAATGCCACATAGTGGGTGAGCAAGGATAAATGCAGAAGTCAACCTCAGAAGGCCTTCCTTGAACACACAGTCTAGGTGGTTCCCTGTACTATACCCCTTTCTCAAAAATTTTATTTATTTTGAGAGAGAGTGTGTGCTAGAGTTGCATGAGTTGTGGAGGGACAGAGGGAGAGGAAGAGAGAATCCCAAGCAAGCTGACTCCATGCTGAGTGCGGAGCCTTGCTCGGGGCTCCCTCTCACAACCGTGAGATCATGACCTAAGCCAAAATCAAGATTCCACGGCTTAACTGAGCCACCCAGGTGCCTTACTATTTCTCTTTATTACATCATGTTTTCTTTGTAGCATGCAACATAATTTGGTAATTTTCATGTGTGTGTGTGGTTTTCTTTCCCTAGAATTTCTGTTCCAAGGTCAGGAACCTAATCCATCTGGTTTACTACTCTGTCTCTGCTGCCTCGCACATTGTCTGGCACACGGTAGAGACTTCAAAAATATGTATTTTTGAGTGAATGAGTTGTCCCAGAGAATAGTCCTCTAGAAGGGATGAAGTTAGAGTTGAGCTTTTTACCTGTTTCAGCCATATTTGCTTGATTCTGCTTTACCTTTTCAGTCCCCACCTCACAGACTTCTCCTGGGCCTCCCCCAATGGGGCCTCCACCTCCTTCCATTAAGGCTTTCGGGCCTCCACCCACCGGGAACTGTCCTCCTTCCAGCGTGGAGCCAACAAATTTCCCAGTCATCGAAGCTGAAACTTTGCTGGAAGATGTGCTCAAACCTTTGGAAGAGGCACTGGAGGACTGCCGTGGCCACACAAAGGTAATCCACCTTGGCATGCCAGTGGGGGATAAAAGGACTGTGGTCCTTTGTTTTCTTGTAAAAGCACTACAGAATGAATTTCTGAGGATCTGAGAAACTGTGGAGATTTTAAAATTCTAGCCATATATGCGCTTTTCTTGGGAGGAGATCTGTAAGTTTTCTCAGTGGGGCCTCTAACCAGAATTCTTAATGTGTTTCTCTGGGCCAGAGAAGGTGGGTCCACTTCCTGTTTGGTGCTGCCTTTCCCCTCCCCTGTTGGGCTAGCAGGGCTGACTTGGAGGGGCTTCTGTCTCTTAGAAGCAAGTATGTGATGACATCAGCCGACGCCTGGCTCTGCTGCGGGAACAGTGGGTTGGAGGGAAGCTGTCAGTGCCTGTGAAGAAGAGGATGGCTCTGCTGGTGCAAGGTATGGGTAGGTCTTTCCATATAGCCTAGCTCCCTCACCTTGTCGTGGATGGCTGACCTGGAAGAGATGCTCAGATTCTGACTGGTTGGGATGAGAGGACTGAGAGCTAGGTCTCTTGCCCCAAGCTGCTTGTTTACCTCCTCTCTTTCCTCAGAGCTTTCAAGTCACCAGTGGGATGCAGCAGATGACATTCACCGCTCACTCATGGTTGACCATGTGACTGAGGTCAGCCAGTGGATGGTGGGAGTTAAAAGATTAATTGCAGAAAAGAGGAATCTGTCTTCAGAGGAAGAGGCCAATGAAGAGAAATCTACAGCCACAGCTGAGGAGAACCAGACAATACCAGGTGTCCAAGAGGCTCCATAATCCTGGATCCTGACCCACCTCACACCATTTCCTATGCCTTGGCACAGAGGCCTTCTCTCACCTGGCTCCCTCTTACCATTTGGGAGACTGTCTGCCTCCTTTGGATCCTTGGCCTCATCCACCCATCTCTGGGGGAAGAGGTGTCAGCCACCTAGGCCAGAGGGAAGTCACCTGTTACCCATAACATATGCATTTCAATAAAAACATCTTAATAGTGGGCCCTGGGTAGGAGAGAGAAGCCCTTCTTGTGCCAAACAAGTTGCTTGTGATGTCCTTGACTGCCTTGCTCCCTGTTTACCCTAAAAACCTCTCTCCTTCCATTCAGCATGAATGGCTTTGCTAAGAAGTATGACCAGTTACTGTCTGCCACCTCCCCCCTCAAATAGACAGAAACACACATTACTTGCTGGGCTGAGTATCTCTATTTTTGGATAATTTCATTTCAGCATAAGAACAGAGGCTCAAATAGCAGGGGAGATTTTTCCCTCAAGGAAAGGAGACTGTCCTGTTTGCACTGTCACCTTTGAGATATACAGTGCTACAGAGATTAGAACACAGTGGTATAAATTGAAGGAGAAAAAGACTAGATTGCTGACATGGGATTGTGACTTTTTGGGGGGCTGGGGGATGGTCAGGGGTAGGGGCATGACTCTGACTCACCAAATGAGCTCCCTCATTTTGGGCCCTAACGTCTCTTCTAACCCTCTGAGGACATGAGAGCCAGATGGAAGGGACCAGAGGTTCAAATCATGCTGAGAAGGGAGAATACAGGCTTTCAGTGTTGGAATAGGGGACAATACTTACAGGTGGGATGCAGAAAAGGCATGGGGAGAGACTGGAGAAGGTTAAACTCTAGGGCAGTGCCTCTTTTTTCCTGCTTTGGAATAGACAGGGAGGGACTGCTGGAGAGGCCCAATTCCAGGAAGGCTGCTTCCTGGAAAGGCTGGAACAGCCCTTGGCGGGGGTCAGGGTATTGCTGTTTATGGTTTGGCAGCTGCTGTAGCCTGCCCCCATAGCCTGCCTTAGGCTCTAATTGCCATTGGAGGTGGGCCCATTGACAGCTTGGAAGGGACCTGGGACCTGTGATCCTAACTAGGTCTCCTGGGGCCTTTGGCTGTGTGGCTGAGATAGGAAAGGCAGTGTTGAGAACACCGGAGTCAAAGCATTTCTTTGAACTTTTACTAAGCAATCAGTGACATACTCCATCCCTCAGTCCCCCTGATGGAGGGCTCGGGGTTGGGAGGAGTACCTACAGACCGAAGGGAAAGTAGAGCTAAGGGCTTGTCAAGTTGCCCACTCCTATCCCTGGTCTAGCTGCCTCAGAACTAAGGGAGGCCCGAAACCAACAAGTCCCTCCCTTCCAGATTATATGAGGCCACCTGGTGTTTGGAATACACCAGGAAGAGGTGATGGCAGCAGCGGTATGAGGGATTCCTCTAATTCCACACAGGATCATCTGCACTGGATTAGATGTCCATTTCAAATTGTGCGTCATCTGGAGAAAGAGAAGGGAGGAGGACTGGTTGCTGGGCTGGGCTACAAGCTCAGCCAGCTTAGCATCAGTGCAGAAACCCCTCTCAGCATTAAACCCCCACTGTACTTAACAGGGGCATTTGGACCTAAAGCATTTAATTTTAGGCCCTGCTTTCCTTACCGGGTATCTCTTCCTCTGTCTCCTTCTGCTCCTTCAGCAACTCCAGCTTGGAGGGTGGGGCTGTTGGAGGTGTTGTGACCCCGGGAATCTGGGGGAGGCAGCAGGGGGGCGTCCGAGCAATGGGTGAGTTCTTGCACTCCAGCAGGAACTTTCGGTCGTAGATGATCCTCGTGCCTGTCAAGGGGTAGGGACTAGTTAAGAGGCTGGAGCTTGGGCACAGAGCTGTATGGGGTTGTCACAAACAGGCCTTTTAGGGACTTGGGACTCATTTCCCCATGTATTAAAGGGCTGCAAGCTGGGATCTCAGCTGACTAGCCTTCCGAGCTCTTAAAAAACTTCCATGTCTAACCAAGATGTGGCTCCGTGCCATGAAGCAAGTGGGGCATCCCAGCTGGTCCAGGCAGGGGCTTTTGGTTTAGGGAAGCTTGCAGTCTCAGTTCTAGGAGGAGCACAAAACTTGGAGAACTCAGGTACTTCGACTGTTCCTGTCTGGCTCTGCTGGCTCTGGGCCTTCCCTACTTTGGCTGGGGGCTGGGGACGTTAGTCCTTCAGGCAGTTACCTCAGGAAGCCAAACAGCAGATTTAAGAAGGAGTTTCACCCCTTCTGCCACCTGGATTCTGAGATCCTGCAGGGAGAAGCTGTGTTCCTCCGGACAGCTGCTTTGCTCGTGAAACACAGGGACAGCCTGTTCTTAACCTGACCCCTCCCAAGTCCTATCAGGCTCAGCGCCAGCCTACAGAAACTTGGCCCCAGTTCTGTCCTCAAAGGGCCCTACCCTGTTCTTGCCTCTCCCCTCTGCCTCCACGTGGCAGGAAACCCTGGGTCGGGAGCCCAGCAGCTAGAGATCCCAGGTAATCAGCCCAACCAAACAGTTGCCAGCCAGCCCGCAGGCCAGCTAGCCAGCCGCAGATACCCAAAGCTCCTGGCCCCAACTGCCTGAGTCCTGCTCGAGCCGCTTTGTAAAACCTGGTGCTTTCTGCCGAGGCCACGCTCGGCTGGGGTTTCGGCTCCTAATTCCAGGAGGCAAAGTCGAGAGGGTCGAGTAAGCAAGGCCCCCAGAACCCAGGCCATAGTGAGGATTTCAGTCCACAGTCACCCGGAAGCTAGGCTTTAAGCCATGGTGCATTACTATGAGGTTTCAGGGAACTGGGCTTCGGTTCCAAACATTCCCCACCCACCCCCGGCAAAAGCTACAACCTGCAAAAGGGCCTGCGGACAGAACCCAAGGCCGGCACCTCCCCACTCCCGCCCCGCGACAGGACGCTCGCGCCGGCCTGCCCAATGCCCTTGGACCCCCAGCCCGGCCCGCTGACCTCCCGGGGTAGTGGCGTATAGCGTGCCCCCCGGCGTGGTGCTGTAGCAGTCGGGCAGCCGATCCCTGCCCCCGGGAATTGGGCAGCTCGTGGAGGTGGACATAGCGAGCGGGACGAGCAGGAAGGCAATCGGCTGGCGCCGAGGACGCGGAGCGCAGCTAACTCTGAAGCAGACTCAGTAGACCACGTGCGACCGCAGCAACAACACCAGGACGACGTCACGCCCGGGGCGGGCCACGAGCCGTCACTCAATCCGACGGTCCCGCCTTACTCGCGAGGGGGCAAGCCCGACTAGGCGAGAGTTGAAAGCAGTCCGTCCCGCACCGGCCCTCCCGTTCCTCCAGGCTCAATATAGGCCAGTCAGACTCTGAGAGCTGCAGCCACTCAGCTATTTACTATCTACTGTTTGAACAGGGCGCCGGGGACCAGGGAGGTATTAACAGGTTACTGTCATGTGTTAATTCACCCATTTCTCTTAACAGTTTTGGACAGTAAAGTACTATTATTAGCCACATTGTACAGGTGAGGAAAGGAAAGATTAGTAAATAAAGTACTATTATTAGCCACATTGTACAGGTGAGGAAAGTCATATCTTGCAGGAGGGGGAACTGGGATTCAGACCTGAATGTATCTGATCCCAAAGCCTGTGCTCTTCAGCACAGCTGGGGACTGCCTCCCATTAATTAATTACAGGAGAGGGTAAAAAAGTGGCAGATGGTCTCTTGCACAGCAGGAAGGGGAAGGTCAGGGAGAGGGGGTGGCCTCTTTGGAAGAAGTGATACCTGGACAGAATAATGAATAGATGTTGTGGGACAGAGGCTTGTTCTTTGATCTTGCTGCCACAGCTAACCTCGGGAAACTAAGGAAGGGCAGAGGACTGGTGAGGAGGACTTGGTCTTTAGTCCCCTGGGAAGGAAGATCAGAGAGTCTGGCCTTTGGGGATTTTTTGCTGTAGACACTGTGATATGAAAGGAGGCAGGAGAGGGGTGGTGGAAGAGAAAGTATTAAGCCTAGTACATACATATACTAAAAATCTTGATTTGATCAAGTAGTCTTCCAATTTCCTCAAGATCAGTATTACCACCCCTCCCCCCATTAAGTGCAGACCACCAGATATCTTGCATTTAAGAGTATTAATGTTACTTCAGTTCTGACTTCATCAGATTTTCCTGTAGCTCTGATTTCTCCACTCATTAAAAAAAAAAAAACTATTTTATAACTCAGTGCTTCTCAAACTTTAATGTGCACATAAATCACCTGGAGAGCTTGTAAATAAGGATTTTGATATGGTAAGTTGAGGGTGGGACCTGAGAGTGTAAGTTTTTAGTAAGATCCCAGATGATGCAGTCCCTTAGGTCTGCAGGTCCTTAGAGTAGCACTTCAGGGAGCAAGGTTATTTATATTTTATTATTCCAAAATGTTTCTGAGCCTCTTACAAAGTGGCGTATACCTAGAAGAAGGGTCTTGATAGTGCTGGAAGGTAAGGCTTGGGAACAGATTGTGGGGGGCCATCTATTACAGCTCAGTTTTTGAGGTAAGTCTGGTTGGAGCAGTGAGGAATAGGATGGAGGGACGGTGAGAATGAAGGTGAAGATTCTAGCCTAGTGAAACAGGGTGGACCAAAGGGCAGTGCCTATGAGGATGGAGAGAAGTGGTCAGGATTCCCATACACAGAAGGGGAAAGAGAAGGTGATTGATTAAGGGTGGGGTGAGAGAGAGGGAGCTAAGCTAGGATAATTTCCAGTCTTCTGACTTGAGAGTCTTGGTAGGAAAAAAAAAAAAAAAAAAGAAAGTCTTGGTAGTAGTAGTACCCCCTAATATAACAGGGAAAACAAAAGAAGCATTATCTTACATTGGGGAATGTACAGTATGTGTGGAATGCTGAGATGGGACAGCACAGCAGCTATATATATGGGTCTGAAGCTGAGGGGGAGAAATCTGGGCTAGTGATTCGGATCTAGGTGGAGTACAATCCAAGAGTATGGGATGAGATCACCTGGACAGAAGATATAGCTTAAGAAGAGCCCTGAGCACATCAACATTTATTTAAGAGGTAGTGGAAGAGGATTCACCACAAGAGACAGAAAAGTGTCAAAAGTTTTCAAGAAGGATCACTGTTGAAGTGAGGTCACCCTTCTGTTAATTTCACCCTTCTGTTGAAACTGACAGCAGCAGTTACTACAACTATAATACTGTTGCTAGATGCTTACTTTTGAGGTGCTATGCGCTGTAAGGGCTGGGGAACTAGAGAAAGGTCATTGGCCTTAGGGAGAAAGCCAGATACATCATGCATGCAATCTGTATGAAGGACTGAGAGTTTAAATCAGAGGCTCAACACTGATTACCCATTAGGGAGCTTAAAACAGACAAGTGCACAAGAAAGAAAAAAAAAAAGGAAGAAAAGAAAAAGACCTATGCCCAGGCTCCAACCGTAGAGATCTGATTAAGCCTATAAAGGAATATCAGATCTTTGCTACCAGATAAACTACTTTGGACTTATACCAATACCATGAAGATAAAACAGGAGTAAAAGATAAAACAGGCTGGCAGTCTAGAGGCGAGATTCATGATCCTGTTGTTCATATTAGGTCTTAGATTGGAAGTGGTCTTAATAAACATTAAGTTCTGGATACTTAAAACCATCTTTCTCTCCCTCATTTGCTACAGAATAAAGAAGAGATAAAGAATCTGCCTGATGGCAAATGGTGACAAATCTTTAAGGACAAATAGAAAATAGAGTGTTATCAGAGCCCCCTCACCCCAGGACAGGGTCCACTGGGAAGACGTCATAACTAGCAACACTTCTTGGTAGAAGAGATCTAGGGCTGGAGAACAAGATGTTCAGAAGCTGTTTTGCTACAGGCTTATTTGCCACTTTCTGGGTTTACAATGGGGTCCAAAGTTCTCAAACAGTGGGCCAGAACCAAGTATACTAACCACTCCTTTTTGTTTGGCTTGAAACTATAATATGACTAGCCTTTCCCCTTCTACAAGACACCTCAAACTGAGGATGGTTCCCTCCTGGGCTAACTCTGAGGACGGGAGGAGGATTTGGCCGGAACCTACAAGAAGAGATGGAAATTGTAGCTCCAAGTCCTGAGATTTCTTACCTCTGGTTAGGAGAGGCCACCATTGGCTGTCCAACTCTCTTCTTCGGTCTGGTTAGCTGAGGTGATGGGATTTCCCCTTTGAGAGCAGGGACTGAAGGAAGCAGACTGGCCTATAAAAGGGCAAGTCAGCACACTGTAGCCACAATAGGTTTAAAGGGTCTTAAAACATCAATAATTTTATTGGTGGTGGAATTTTATTACACTACTACTAGAAATAAGTGGGTCCAGAAACCTCGATGATATATTTTTATTCCTTGAAAGAGCTGTTATTCTCATGCGGTTTGATCTATGCCTCAACAGGATGTTTCTTAATGATCTGAGGTCTTACTATGAATGTGCAAGGTCTTCTTCTGCCTCTATTAAAATTTCAAAATCAGTACTGTCCCACACAAGAGCAGGCTTCTGATTCCAGGTGAGAACCAATGGTAGGGACTCTCAAATCTCAGAAATGTAAACATTCTACTGGCTTCCAGTATTCCCATCCCATATATTCTCATTCACAAGAAAAAGGAGAAAATCTGTGTTAGCACTAGGTGACTCTTTTGAGTTCATTTACATTCAATTTTATTTTCAGATGAGGAAAGTGAAGCCCAGAAATGAAAAATGACTTGCCTAAGGTCATAGAGCTTCAAGTGACAGAAATGAAAACAGAATTTAGGCTTATTTCACTATACCCATGCTGCCTCCCCCCAGATCCCTCATATATTTTTAAAGTAATTAAGTTCTTACCTGAGCTAGGTTTAATCCAAGGTTCAGGTTGGTAAAAGAGCAGTAAAGTAATGCCAGGAAGAGGCAAGACAGAGGAAGAAGAGATTATAGCAAACAAAATGGGTTGGGGAGGAGGGATCCAAACAGAAAGAAAAGAAGGCAGTGCCAGTAAGAGGGCAAGGAGGAGGGTATCCTGAGTAACTACTACTGACTACACAGCTCCTGTTTCTTCCTAATCCTCCTAGGGGTTCTTCTAATTGTCCCCTCTTCTCATGGATTCTAGTTCTTGACTGGAGATAAAATTTCTCCTTCTGTTATCCTCAAGGTGCAGAAGATAGGGTTAAGAGCTCTCCCAGATAATTCAAATGTATTGTAGACTCTTAAGACAGGAAAATCATTTTTGTCCCACTGAATAATTTACTTTTAATATTATCTCTCACTAGTGTATGTTTCATCAAGAGTAGTTTCATTCATTTCACTAACATTAGGTGATTTTTGTTGTTGTTGTTGTTGTTAGTGGTAAACAGAAACAGCAAGATATATAGGGGATCCCAGGGGTCTCTTGAGAATACTTGATGTGGTTATCAAGTACTAAAAAAAGCAGTAACTTCAACACCTATGAATCCATTCAAATCCATTCAAAATAGGAAACAAGAAATGATGTTAAAGAAGCTCTCATAGTGGGGCGCCTGGTGGCTCAGTGGGTTAAAGCCTCTGCCTTCAGCTTGGGTCATGATCCCAGAGTCCTGGGATCGAGCCCCGAATCGGGCTCTCTGCTCAGTAGGGAGCCTGCTTCCCTTCCCCTCTCTCTGCCTGCCTCTCTGCCTACTTGTATTCTGTCTGTCAAATAAATAAAATGTAAAAAAAAAAAAATAAAAAAAATAAAAAAAAAGAATTTAAAAAAAAAAAAAGAAGAAGAAGCTCTCATAGGTAAGGTGATATGGAAGACAAAAGACCCAGGCATGTCTAACACAGAACTTGGGGTGTCTCATTTAGGGGTGGCTTTAGGAGCCAGGCAGAGAAGCTTAAGAACTTTTGGTGGCATGAGAATTGAAAAGTGCTTGCTGGTATGGCTCTGCCGCCAGTTACTGTATTTTGTATGTTCTTCTTTGCCTTGATATGTGTTTTGACTTCTCTATCAGCCTGAAGCATTTTCTTGTTTTCTCTTCTAGAGTGCCTATACATAAAACCAGGAAGTTCCACTGTATTAAACATGAAAGTTTAATGAATGTTCTTTTCAGAGGGTTGTTTTTCCTTCTCTATTGCATCAGATTCTTGGCATAGCCTATAGTTTGGCCAAGGCAATCCGCTCTAGTGTTCCTCTGTTTAGCTTGTTAAACACATTGGCTCTTCATACTTAGGACTGTGGAACTAAGCCCAGAATTAGTCACACATTTATAATGATTACTCTGCTGATTCAACGATACCACAGTATTACAGGAGGCACTCCCACCCACTCCTGTGTCCCAACCCAAATAAAAACATAAAACACTGTAACCAAATAAGTCTTTAGATAAAAGCCAGGAAGCACAAAAGAATGTGAAGTTGAGAATTTGGGTGTCCCTAGGTTTGTTCAGTGTCATCTGATTGCAATCCTATGGTCCTTATTGATACTTATGATCTATAAGGAGCTAACCCCAGCAAAGGCCTATCTACTAAAGTCACATAAGACACATTGCAGGGGCTTGAAACTTAGTCCTACTTATAAAATGATATGGAAGAGAACAAGGAAATAAGGACTGTTTAACACAAAATAGGTAGATAACTAGTCTTCAAAATGCTTTTTCAATGCAGTCTAAAAAAGATCTCTAAGGTGTAACATGTGAGACGCCTGTTAGAAATACAGTAGTAACAACTTGATTCAATAGGACTGTGGATTGGGTAATACCTGCATGACCACTGAAAGGATCACACCCCACTTCTAAACACTGTTCATCTTTTTATTGAATATTCTGGTAAATATTTCACATTAATACAGGCTACATTAAGTAGAGCCACTATATGACAAGAAATTTACTCAACTTTTTCCTTTTAAGTATGTAAACAATTGTACATGTATTTACCACCCTAAAAGGTTGAAACATGTAATCATCTAATTCTCTTCTGCATACAAGTAGCATTCGGTATGTTTAGCCAAAAGCACTAAGTTCAAAATGGCTAAACTAACCAGAGAACATAATCAGGTGGATAGGAAATCACTTCGTTCTTATACAATGGGCAATCAAATCTCCATTGCTAACGCCTCAGAGAAATTTTCTTAGTTAGGCACATTAAAAAAAAAAAAAAAAAAAAATCCCCAGGGTTCTTCCAAGGTCATAGGTTTCTCAAACAAGGCTAAAGAATAAGACCTTCTA